ATTTAAGTTTTTTATGTTTCTAATGATAGGTGTTCTTTTGGATTTTTTGAGAGAGCAAACTATAAAAGAAGGAATGAATTTTTAATTTTTATGAGATTTTCAAATAAATAAAAGATTAAGTTTAAATAAAATATTATAGATTATGATATAGTTGAATTAAATGAGGTTAAATTTTAACTATTTTGTAACAAGAAATTAAAAACCCCAACCGCCATCTCAATCGTGACCTTAAAGTTTAGTTGTTGACAAATGTCCTGTTTTATGAAATGGTGTCCCGGAGAAGGTTGGCCTTCTTACCTAGATTTCAGGATTCTGACAACTCTTTTGACGAGTTATTGCACAGCCAAAAAAGAAAAAAAAGGAGGTTGACGCTAATGAAGATGTGTTTCTGTCTCCTTTATTATCTTTTGGTAATAGATTTTCCTAGGTTTTAATCACAGTTATTTTGTAGGTGTTGATTCTTCTTTTCGTGACATCAGCACGGGAGCCAGGTATCATTCCGCGTCATTCAAATCCACTGGAGGAAGAGTTTCAATATGGTTCTTCTTCTGCAGCTGTGGCTGAGGGAAGACAAAAAACCAGTGACCAGTTTCCTCAAACAAAAGAAGTCCTGGTTCATGGCATTCCTGTTCGAGTAAAGTATTGTTGCACATGCATGCTTTATCGTCCTCCCCGTTGTTCTCACTGTAGCATTTGCGATAATTGTGTAGAGCGTTTTGATCACCATTGTGGTTGGGTGGGGCAGTGCATTGGACTGGTATGCTGGTTTATGTGCAATTTCAATATCCATATTCATTTTTGTTCGCTTAAGCAATTTTATATCATGAAGCTAACTTCTGTGTATGGCAGCGCAACTACCGTTACTTCTTTATGTTCATTTCTTCAGCAACGCTTCTCTGCATCTACGTGTTCTCTATGTCAGCATTGAACATTAAGGTTCTAATGGATAATTACAATGGAACAGTCTGGAAAGCTATGCAGAAATCTCCTCCATCTGTGATACTCATGGCCTATTGTTCCATTTTCCTCTGGTTTGTTGGTGGACTCACTGGGTACCATTTGTACCTCATAGCAACAAACCAGGTTAGTTGAATTTCTTATCCTTGTTTATTATTGTTATTTTTTTTTTTTTTTTCTGATTGTTTGTGATGCCATAAATTGTGGTTGGTTTCAATTATTACAAATTGCAAGGAGCTTGAGTTAAGCATGATAGAGTTGGTTCAACTTCTAATTACTTAATTTGGTTACTGGCAACTAGAAGAGCAAAATAGACTGAGTTGTCTGCCTAGAAAATGAGAGAAAAGGGACAAAATGAAACTGGTTCATGTAATCATCTTTTTAGTCTTCTTTCAATAAAGTTACTGTTTCTTGTTCTCTAGATTAAGATCCATATAATTCAGTTTCTCCGGTGTCTGACTGGAGTTCATTTTTCCAGACAACCCGTGAAAACCATCGATCCATAGCTGCAAACGGGAGCAATATTTATGATCGCGGTTGTCGAAGTAACTTTATTGAAATATTTTGCACAAAGACTAAACCGTCAAGGAACAACTTCCGTGCTCTTGCACAAGAGGAGGTACCACAGGCAGAACCAGAAGAATTAGGTGGAGAGCTGAACCCACGTCCTAAAGTTGAAGATGATCTAGAGATTGGTGAAATTCTGCTAACCATCTCTCTGCGGCGTAATATTGAAGAAACTGATGCGGACATTTGCAGTAGAGAGAGCAACAGTCCTCGTAATACATTATCAGAGGTCGAATCTGATCCGAGTTCAGATCATCTAGCTCCTACAATTCGACCAGACGTTTAGGCACTCAAGTTGGGAAAGGAGAAGCGGGAGCTGTGAAATCGCTTCTAAGGTCCTTGCCAATTCCTCGGTTACTGAAAGCAGAAGCTATATACCTTCAAAAAGCACCCCAATGAAAGCAGAAGAATGGCTGTACATTCATGGCTGATGTGCAATTGCTTGGTTATATAATTTCCAAGGAGTATGTTGTGATTAGAAAATACAATATCTAACAGGGAGTCAAACAAACCTCACTGAAACAGCGCAATATCTGCTATGTTCTTTCTTTAGAAAGTGGAACTATATAGTGTTTCTTTTTTTAGAAAATAGGGACAAAAACTTCATCGAATTGAATTCCTGGTTATTTTTCTTTTTCTCTTTTCATACATGAGAAGATTGTTAGTCTCATTGTTTGTAATAGAAAATTCTTTTTTTGTTTTTTTGTGAATAATTATTATTATAGAAAATTTAATTTTTATTAAATTTTTTATTATTTTATAGTCTAAATTATTTTAAATTATAAAGTAAAAATATTTATACAAAAACAAAAGTGTACTTATAACGGAAAGGTTAGTATTTTATAATTTAAATTATAAATTTAAAAAATATATATAATAAAAAGAAAAGTGTTTAATATTAAATAAGAAATAAAAATTAATTTTAAATCTATTAATTATTTAATTAAAATAATTTATATAATATTATTACAAAAAATAATCTTTTAATAAAATATTTAAAATAATTTTTTATTTAATGATCTCTATTTTCTAGGACACTACACTTTCCCGGTGAAATTAGGTTCCCTTTCTTTTATTTCAAATATTGTTTTTGCAGACAGTCCACAACACTTTTCTATTTTTCATTTACCAAAAAGAAAAGAGGTTTTTCTTGCATCTTCAGAGTTTTTCGGGTTTATTCGTTGACAGTTTCTCTGATTCAAAACTAAAATTTTCTAAAATTGCAATCCCATCCGTCACTATAAAAATCAATCAACCAGAAAAACACAAAAAAAAGGGCCCATCACCATCAAATAATGGCTCCTCTCCACCGTTTCTTGTTCGTTGCAACAGTCGCCGTCGCATTACTTTTGGCCCTCTCCCCTTCACCGGCGACGGCAATCAAACAAACCATAAATCTACATCAGGCTCCGTCGAAGCTCATTGAGAGCGTCTGCAAGAGCGACTCCGTCGATGATTACAATTTCTGCATCAAAGCCCTCAGCTTTCCCCGAGCCATCTCTGCCCCTGACGCCAAAGCCCTCACCCCGGTTGTCCTGCAACTGGCACAGAATGATGCGAAAGCCACCAGAGACGCAATCAATGCTCTGATGAAGACCCAAAACTTTCCGGCGCTCGCCCAGTGCTTGGAAAATTATGAAAACGCCATTAGATCATTCGGCATGGTAACCGAAGAACTGGAGGAAGACCCGATGACGGCCAATTACGATATCAAGGTTAACACTGACCTGGCAGATGCATGCGATCGAGCATTGGCCGCCGGTAAATTTCCGGCCCCTCAAATTACCGCCGGAAACCTATCTCTGAGGCGTTTTGCCCTGATTGGTTTTCAGGTAACAAATTTGTTGTAGGGTGAGAGCAGAGGAAGCCATGATTGAGCCTTGTGAAGTCGTCTACTCTGTTCTACACCAAGCGCCGTAATTCCTAGTTATATTTCAATTTAGATAAATTAAGACAAAAAGAAATGGTTTTAATTTTTTCTTTTGGCCGTCAAGGAAATGGTATTAATTGAATTTTATTATTTTTCCCAAAAATGGGAACGACGCAAAGATAATTGTAATGTTTCTTGAGGAAAAATCTAAGTTTCTGTAAAATTCAATTTTGAAATATATATATATATATATATAGTTTGTGTTGTAAATTGATTTTAACTTACCAAAGTTTCATCGAATTGATACTATTTTAACATAAAAAATTAGGGTCTCAAGTTTATGTAATGTTAAGTAGATAACTTTGAATATACTGAAATATGAACTTGATTTATAAGTGCCTTTAAAAGCTAAATTTAAATTTCCCTTTAACAAATTTTTAAATGTACGTGTAAGAAAAAAAATTTGTTTAAAATAACTTTGATTTTCAGCTCTACAAAATAACACCTAACTAATGAAAAGTTGAGTAATTTTATTATTAGAATCTTTTTCTCTTTTTGAATCGGATGCATTTAAAAACTAATAATACTATAATTATAACATCACATTATAATTTTATATAACATTAAATGAGATATGATGTAATTTTAAATAAGTTAATACATACAACATTACGTAGATCTATAAATAAAAATAACTCATTATATAATAACATATTATATTATAAATTTACAGTATCACATGACATTGTAATTATAACATTTAAAAAAAACAGTATATAGTAGGAAGAGACAAATATTATTAACAAATTCTTATATATTCTTGATTTATTAAGAATATTTTTATTTTTTTGGCCTTCACTCTATTATGAGTAAGTGCATGGAATACTTTAAAAATTATGAAGAAAATTATTTAAAATTACATCATTTTAATAAAATATTAAGAAAAAAATTTTAAAAATCTAATTTATGTTTTAAAAATAAGATATTTTAATTTTTAATAAAAATTTATTAAAATTACATTTTTTATTGAACAAGTATCAAAGGGATTTGAATCCAGCCTGAATGGGAAGGTGAAAACTGCACTTTAATAAAATAGCAAGAGCCATTTGATTCAACAAGACAGCTGCATTAAAATTACACAACTTTAGAGTAAATCTTTTTCATAATTTTTATGAGTTAATGGATGAACACTCTTTTCCTATATATTTTATTATATAGTTTTTATGATTATCAGCAATAATAATTGCTTTATTGTATAGGAAATAAAACTTCATTAGAATCAACCTTACATATATGAAGAGGGAACCTTCGACCCAAAAAAAAAAAAAGAAAGGGAAGAAGAAGAAGGTTATGATCTTGACATAAAACGGCCCACTATTATTATCATTTGGGCTTTTATGATAATACTATCATTCATGCATAACGGCGCACCCTTTCAGTCGGCGTAGAAAAGGTAACCACTCTTTGCATGTAAATAAACAATATATACAAAAATTATGACTGATGAACATAAAAAAAAAAAAATAGCACTCCTGTGATCTCTTCTATATATATATTGAAGGTAGCAAAAACTAATTAACAAGCAGAAAGTATAACCACAACCAAAAGCAATGGCTACTCCAAAAGCTCCAATTCTCATCTATATTTTCCTTACTTTCTTCCTATATTCTCCATCACAAGTGAAATCTCAATCTTCCTCACAAGATATATGCAATATCACCTGCAGTCCTTCGTCTTGCTCGCGATTAATTACGGTCAAAAATCTAACCGAACTCATGTTACTCAACCTGCAATGGGCGATAAACAACACAAGAGGGGCAGTCCAACGCCTGAACCAAACTCTGGCCGCGACAGCCAACAACTTGCAGTTTCAGCAGCCTCTACTAATCTGCATGGAGCAGTACAGTCATGCGGCAGCGCATTTGGAGCTTGTGTCCAGTTTTGTACAAAGCGACCCATTTGAAGCACATTCGGAGTTGATAATGGCGAATGCCAACATCTTTACTTGCCAAGCAAACATGAATAATGCTGGATTTGAAAATGACTGGATTGCTGAGAGTAATAATGAGTTTATGGATTTTAACTGCGTTTGTGATACAGCCATAGATATACTGATTAATGGGCAACCAAGGGGCGGTACAATCCAACATCATCAGGAAGGGGGAGGCGTTTGAGACTTCTTTAAATTTAGTAACACTGTATAGTAATGGATCTATATATTGTTACTGATGGGCTATACATATATGGGCCGCGAGGCCAAGGACCCGATGTTTCTCATTTTACTAGTTTCCTTTTGTATTAAAAATGAAAATGAGTCTATAGACTTCTAACTGCAAAACAGTACTAACTTTTAGATAAAGGTGTCTTCTCCTAATATTAGAGGCCTCTCTAAATTCAATAACTTGTTATAATTCATTGTAGTTTAGACTAGAAAACACTTTTTTTGAATGAAAATTTACTCCAAATCATCACATTGGAGCAAAAGATCTCTCAAACCACTACGGACTAAGGACCATATATATTTCAAGGGCAGGTGTTATTGTTAACCCAAATGGGTGGGCCATTACTTTGACGCTTCTTTTCACCCAATGAAAAGAGAGTTCGTTTTAGGCCCAAAATGCACAAGTTAGTGGGATGGGAGCCTCCTTCAAATGGTGCCTTCAAGATTAATGTAGATGGCTCTTCTTTTAGGTCACAAGGTCTTTCAGCTGCAGAGGGTATTTGTAGGGACTCGGAAGGGGCATGGCAATTTGGCTTCAACATGCAATTGGGCACTAGTCATGCAATACATGCAGAAATCTATGCCATTTTTA